GCCGACGAGCTGGGCGGATTGACGTTCGCCCGGGCGGTGTGCCAGGCGCTGTGGTCGCCGGTGGGCGGCGTGCTGGGCCACAACTTCGACCGGTCGGTCGTGATCGCGGGTGGCTGCGCCCTGTGGGGAACCATGACCGCGCTGTTCGGCATGGCGGGCTCCGTGTCCCAGGCGCTGCCACTGTGGGCGCTCAACGGCGTGGGGCTGTCGATGGTGATCCCCAACGTGCAGAGCCTGACAGCGGACTGCAACGGCCCCGGGTCGAGGGGGAAGGCGTTCGGCGTGCTAGCGCTCACGGCGGCAATGGGCGGGATGCTGGGCCAGCTGTACGCGACGAACGTGGCGGCGTCCGGGGGCGAGGCATGGAGATTCGTTATGTTCTCGGTGGGGATGTTCAGCATTTTGGTGGGTTTGGTCAACCTGGCGATGGTGAGGGAGCCCAGGGCCAGGTCGCCGCCCAAGCTGCGGGTGAAGCGGAGGCCGGAGGGTGGGCTGGGCGCGGTGGGCAGCACGTGGCAGAGCGTCAGGCAGGTTATGTCCGTGCCCACCTTCATCGTCATCGTCGTCCAGGGCATCGTGGGCACCTTCCCCTGGAACGCGATAGTCTTCATGACGCACTACCTGCAGCTGATCGGGATGTCGGGATTCTCGGCCAGCTGCCTGATGGGCACCTTCCTGGCGTGCACGGGGTTGGGGGGCCTGATCGGGGGCATAGTGGGTGACAAAATCGGCGCCAGGTATCCCCGCCACGGCAGGATCCTTGCAGCCCAGTTCAGCGTGGCAATCAAGCTGCCCTTCGTCCTCCTGCTCCTGAGGGGCCTCCCCCTGGACGGGCGGCCGTCCACCGTGGCGGCCTACGGGGCCGTCATGTGCGTCATGGCGCTGCTGGCGAGTTGGGCGGGCAGCGCCTGCAACAACCCAGTTTTTGCCGAGGTCGTGCCCAGCACGCACAGGAATCTGGCGTACGCGTTCGACAGGTCGTTCGAGGGGGCGATCGCGGCGTGCGGGGCGCCAATCGTGGGCTGGCTGGCGCAGAGCATGGGCTACGTTGGCAGTGTGCGGGTCACGGGCATACCCAGCATCGACTTGGCCAACGCCCACGCGCTTGGCAGCGCCCTGCTGGTGTGCCTGCTGGTGCCGTGGACTCTGTGTTTCGTTCTGTACACCGGCTTGCACTGGACATACCAAAGGGACAAGGTGAATGCCCAAGTGCTGGAGGAGCGGGGTGTCCAGCTTGGGGAGTATGAACGGATTTCGAGGAGCCCACGGAGCAGCCCGCGGAGGAGTCCAAGGAGTCCAAAGAGTCCGTAGCGATGTCTCAGGTAAACCACGCAAGGGTGCTCTCGGGTTTCGATCAGTTGAGGGCCACTCCAGAGAGTGAGCCCATTTGCTCATGAGGCTGGAATATCAGTCTAGTCACCTCCCATGCTCGTTGCTTGAACGTAGTGTATTCCATTGGAATTTGTCCCTTGCTTCGTACTGTGGATGCCAAGCTGCTGGCAGAAGAGAAGCTTTTGGGGGCTGCACAGCTGTCTAGTTCTGGGGGCGAATTAAAGGCATTTGTACAGAGCTGGGTGTTGCTTGTCTGCTGGGGAGCAACTGAGCAACAGCCAGCATGCAGGCAGAGTGGGTCTTTGGCAATTGTTTGGCTCATCTGCTGCAGTGGCTTCAGTTGTGCCTTTGACTTGGAGATGTTGGGACCAGTTCGTTTTCCACTGAATGTTGTTCGAGGCTTTTGACTCTGGAATGTTTGGAGCCATCAGTTTCTCGCTTGAAAGTGCAGATGCTGACCAGCAACATGGGCAGCTGCAGCAGGCATATTTTCACACCGATCGCAAGAGGCAGGGAAAGAACTTTCACTCTGTTGGAAGCCCACATTAACCAAGTTGTTTGAATGTGGGGTGATGGTCCAGTGTGTGGTTGTTTGGAAGGCTAGTTCGTCAAAATGCACGAAGCAGCTCCCCACAGGAGACCATTGTTGGCTTGACGAGAGTCTCAATTAACTGGACACTGTTTAGGCACAGAAGAGCGAATTGGACGAATACTGTTTCATGACGTTGCGGCACCTGCAGAGATGGGCGCGTATGGGGAGCAGATTAGTAGTTTCAGACTTTAGTTTGTATGCAATTTTATTGTATTGAGAAGAAAGCAAGAGTGCAGGAATGCTTATTGTTGAGAACAAAATTGAGCGGTTGAGACTCAGCTCAGCCCATGAACTATATTTCTGCTGTACTATGATGGAACCATTCTGTATGCAGTGATGCCCTTTAGGGGCATCTTGCGTTTGTGTAATATCTGTTTGGCCTGTGGTTTGGTGGCTTTCGTATGGAGCCTTGTCTGGCATTGAAGCACAGGCGAAAAGGAGTGTAAATAAGGCGGCAGATCATTGTGGTACAGTGGCCACACATGCTGTGCTATGGGCTGCCTCCCTATGAAGGCTGCCATGATCGTGCTGTGGTCCACACACAAGGATGTGCGTGGGTGATGACAATGCTGCATGCACGCATTTTGCTCTGTTCTACGAAATCCAACAATTGAACGGTTTCTAAGCAACAATCTAAATTCGAACATAGGCAAGCAGTCGATTGCAACAGAGCCCACCCAGGAGCAGCACGCCAGACGTCCAGCTCTTCAATGCACAGGATGGACCAAGGAATTGATGTGCATCGTGCACCTTTTCCCGACTTGACCCCTGAAGAACACAGCCCACCCGCAGTGCATGGAATGCCAACCCTGCAACACCGCTCTGCCTGCCAGTCGACAGGCATGCGCTTGATACATCCACGGCGCACCGATAGAAGAACGCTCGCGCAGCACCAGAGCCGATGCGACCAGTGAGACGCACCGTAGCCGCACCAACCAATCACCCCCCTGCCAGGGCTTCATGAACGTTAGGAAGCATTTTGAAAGGCGGACGCGTTGCAACAGGCTGACCACATGATCAGAGGCTGCAAAGCGGATGCGGAGACATCCAGACGGCTACCAGCCGGGAGGAAGAACACGTCCCCTGCGACAAACAACAACACACGCTCACCAGAAGGCCATGGAGGTCCAACGAACGGAAGTGACTCGTTGACAGGCAGATTCAAGTTGCGAGGAAAAGACAACGCACTATCCCTGCACCGCCATGGCGATGGAGGACATAAGCCATGCGCACCTGTTGTTGCCGGGGGCGTTTGTTCATCTCCACTAAATCTGAGAAGCACGAAGAAAGGGCGACCAGGACCACACTTTATTTGCTCAAGGGAGGGGGTGTGGAACAGCACGATGGGTGGTGTGCACAAGCAACCGCCAGCAGGGTTGCATCGCTGGAATCACAGTAGGGCAAGACTTCGCTTCATTGCAAGACACCACCACATACCAGTTTCGATATTGAAGGAATCAGGTCTATCATGTGCAGTTTGAGAGTGAGCTTGAACTTGCGCACGGTACCACCCAGTCCAGATGCGCACTCAACCAATGCGCGGTTCGCCAGACAAGCGGTTGCATTGATGGACAAAGACACCAACGCAGACGGCTTCATTGGACTTCTGACCACGGAATAGACAGGTCTGCCACGAAGACAGCCTGGAGGTTTCTCGAAGTGATGTGGACCACAGCTTTGCACCGCTCAAAGAGCGCATGGCGCCTGGAAATGCAACAACCTGCTTGGGCAAGGGCAGTCTGGATAATACTGCGCACATGCTATGCGCAGAAATTCTCCATCCAGTGAATTGGACAGCACTACCTGTGGGCACAACCTCCTCTCACAATGCACCACGCAGCTGCTGGGTACCATGTGGTGCAGCAAGAACATGCAGTGATGAGAAATCCTCGAAACAAACAAGAGATTCCCATACCACATCCGTGCATCCTGAACAAATACACGCCACAACCATGCACTCGTGCAAATTGGTTCCTACCTTTCTTTAACGCAGCTCCCTTCATCAAACTTGGGTCATCCATGTCACATGCAGCACTTGCAGCGCCCTCACCAGCCTGCACTAGGAGGAGGACTGGGCCCTGCCAAGTGCGACAGTTGGAAATCATCATCACGAAGACATCGACAATGAGGTTTCCAAACATACGAGGGACAAAAGGCTACATCGCCTCTCACATTCAACATACGATGCATTCAAGATAAACCGGTGCCACACACCATGCGCTTGGCAATGCAAAAAGCCCATATCAGTGATGTGTGGGTGATGCGATATAAGAGATACGCGCCAGGGCCAAGAAGAGGCAAACAGTGTTTCCGTAACACAGGAACGCACGTTGACAAGAACGTTGCTGCTCCTGTTGTGCATGTGCGCGGCAACAAACATACTTCACACAAACACCCGAAGTAATTCACATAATCGCCCGATTGCTTCATATGAACACACCTTATTGACAGGGAGCGTGGATGTCGAGCCCGATGGAACACGAATGGCATGGACTTCAAACTCGTCAAATGGAGGCCGGTAGCACTTTATATGTTCACTAGCCTCCTCACCTTCCAGAATTTCAGGCATGCCTTGCCAGGAGCACAGACATATGAGATTTTAGTGAAGCCCATCGGATGGCATTGCATGCTTTCTGTTGCATCCAAGTCTTGAGGACTACAACTGGCATGCAACTGTTGAGTTCCGTGGTTGACGTTCCATCCTCAAAGCTTCCAGCTCTTCGCCAAAATATAGAACGGCTTTGTGAGATGATACTCTTCGTGTGCCCTGGCGGTATCTACACATCCCAGTATGTAGTGTGTGCCAATTGCGTCTGTCGTAGCCACACACGAGTACGTAAAAATCACATCATGGTGCATCATGCCTGGGGAGTGGCGGCCCTTTGTAGTCACAGCGTCGACGCCAGAGACGTTGCCCTTGGAATGGTCCCTGAGTTTCCATTCGCTTGCAGGCATGAGAGTGGTATGCTGTAAGCCTGTTGGAGGGCTTTTGCTATAAATTTGTCCACACACCTCCCAGCAGACAAAAACAAACTGCCAGTGGTGACACAGTAGGAGGACAACAATGCACCAGTTGTCAAACTCTGATGCATGAGCAAGTTGCATAATTGGAGCTACCTTGCGAGTATGTCAAGGACTCACACAGGACCTTCGAGTCCCGGAGCTTTGGCGTCAGGCCAGCGCGCACGACGTTGTCGGAGGTCGCCATGCACTCCACAATCTCTCCTGAAACGTAGGCATGGGGCTCATTAGCAGCCAGATATATTGCCTGCCCAGGCGTCAATGCAACCTGCACAATAATGAGCCAATTTCGGAGAGATGGACCACCTGGATGAGGCCAATGCACAGGGGCCATAATATTTTCAAAAGCAATCCTGGGCCCACTGCACAGCAACATTGTGGGCAACATGTTGAGTGTACAATATGGTATCCTGCACAATCGCCAGCAACATCTTGTCAACAGGCTGCAAGCGTACCTAGATTGTGGGGCATCTAGTGGGCTAATTCATGACTCTTCTGCATGTGTTCATGTGTTGCCAGAAGCCAGCAGTCTGCCTGGCTATCAAAGGAAAGTACTGTGCAATAACTGCACTCCCCGCTTCTGGGTGTCCACAGTGGGCCGAGAATATCTGTGTTGTTCCCATATAGAGGGGTTGCAGTGCAGGCGGATACAGGCATAGGCGGTTGAATCCAGAACGAAGCAGGTATGCTCAGAACGAGGTTCTTGCAGGTATGGCACCTGACCAAAGCATTGGTTTCTGGTGATTTTCGTGGAAGCCAAAAAATCCAGTCTGCTGGCAAACTGAGAGCTTGATATACCCACAACATTTTCCAATGTGGGTATGCAAAGAATATTATGGACCCTGTCACTGGATGGACTTATCCCTGACTCTTCGCTTGTTAGTACTGGGCAATAATATTCTGCAGTTGAAAAATTGCCCTGGACAGCCAACTTCGGCTCTTGAGGCAAAAGATCAACACCACACACGCCTAGCAGTGCTTCGTCGTGCACCAACACATGGCCACGAATTCTACTGTGCATGCACAATGCCAAATGAGCACAACTGCACGTCCTGATCATTCTGAAAGCTTGTCCAACAAGACCACCTCTTGCTGGTTGCTCTCTCAGAACAGTCAGCAGCAGCAACTATAAGAATTCATCCAACAAATGGTCTGCATTCATTATGATGCCCTGTGATCAGAAGGTGCCTGGGTATTAGCCGCAGCAGTCACCTGGTTGAGGAAGTATGATGCCAGCACACCAACATCCTTTGGGTACTGTTCATTCAGCCTGAGCACAAGGCGCTCCTTCTTGGTCAGCGGTCGGTTTCCTGCCTCCGCCTCCAGCCGTGCACACAACTGTGTCACTGATTCAGAGACAACATCGGGAGCGCACATCATCAGCGCAGTGAAAGCTCCCTTGAGAGCCTGAACACACACATGTTGGAGTGAGCCAAACTGTGGAGACACACAAGAATCAAGCCCTCTGGGCACTGCTGCAGAATGGTGCAAAATTACAGCCCCAATCAGAGTCTGCTCCATTCACACCAATATCGTATCAACACAGTCACACATTCTTTCATCAACATCACAACTATAGTGGTATGCTATGTGACAAGCCACATTGAACATTGGCGTCCCCATGAGCATGGAGGCATCGGTTCACAAGAACAACCAGGCTCTATCACGGTGCAATGACCAAATCATCAAACGATGGTGCTGCATGCCCATAAAGGATGCCCAACAACCTGGAGTCTCCATTTCTTGCTTCCTCATGAAATGATACGCAGCAAAGGTGCACAAAGATGATCACCCTGGAATAATGGCCCCACTTGATCATCGCTGAGCTGCAGAAACCCCCAGCTGGAGACTCATTACCTTGGAAGGGCAGTGAATGTTCACTCCTTTCACGAACTAAAAAACTGTTGGGAACAGCAAATGCTCACAGCCAAAGTGGCAATAGACTGTACCTCCTTTTCGATTGATGCTCCCTGCAACAAGGCGTCCACTTGCTTGTCGCCCACACAGTGCCGGAGTTCCGGGCACGAGGTCAGTGCCTCTGCGAGCTCTCCATTAGACACGAAGCTGCACAGAGCTTCAAAGTCTGTGAGGGCTATCGCCATCTCTGGCTTGTGGTTCGGGTCTTTGTACACCTGAGGGTCGGCTCTAGCAGATCGTCAGTTGCCACGCCATCATGCATTGGGGGACTAAAACTCTGGCACATGTGAAGGCGTCTTGGCGCAGCAGGTTGGTGCCGACCCGGGAGATCGGCAAAACAAAGGGTCAATACTGGCCAGATTCAAAGACAATGTCCAAATTGAGACTTGTGCGAAGACTCACCAGGACGAAGACGCAACTGAAATACAGCATGGGACAGTGGCGTACATTCCCTGGTGTTGGCACTCCATGTCATCTGATGAACATCGTCACCACACATGGAAAGGGGGGACCCAATGCCCAACCCCGAAATGCAGAACACCAAACCGTCGACTGTCACGAAGGTGCAAAGCTGTTCGCTCCGGCCCCCCGATCACGCAGCGGCGGCACCCAGGGCTGCCGCGCGAAGGGCTGCTCACCGTCGGCCGCTCCACGTGCAGCTTCTCCGCCAGCGTCTTGTCCGGATGCGACTGGATGGACAGGGCCGTCCTCACGGACAGGACCTGCACCGCAGCAACGCCAGATCACGGGATCATTCATTGGCCATCCGCACTGCACTCCCGCACACCCCACCGGCCAGCCGATTCGTCGACCATCGTCCGAAATCCATCCCCCAGAGCACGGCGCGATGGCTGTTCATCATCACTGACCCAATCGGTCCTTGCGACGCCTCCCCCGCACCTTGAACAGAAACGGCAGGGCGCCGGCGCCGAAGCGCGCGGCCACATCGTCTCCCAGCGCCTCGGGGCGGCCGTCGATCCACTCCCGCAGCGTGGCTCCACAGTCGGCCAGCTCGGACGGCCCGCTGGGGTGCGTCCCGATCCACAGCTCCGCGTACGGCTTGGAACCGTCCACGGGCGTCCCATTGGCTTCGCAAAGGCGGGCGACCTGCGAGCATCCTCAGACACCGATCGATTCAGTAAAGTCCCTCCGCCGTGTGCCGTTCCCCTGCTCCCCCTCAAGAGGATCGCTGGGCAGTGCGCACCTCGCTGTCTTCCGCCAACCGCCCCCAAGCGTAGTTCTGCGCCCGGCACCTGAGCCGGAGCATGGCGGCCTTGCGCGGCTGGCTGGCGGGGAGGGCGCCTCGCGAGCAGGGGCGATGGGACGTTGGGACTGCCCCGGCGCCTGCTTCCAGACCCGCTTGGCGGTACTGGCCACGTTCATGCACGTTTGCACGCATCGTATATGCGTCAGGACGTATCTGGCAGGTGTCGGGAGTTTGTTGTGAATGGGCTGATGTGGACGTGACTCGCTGAGGTTTGTCGGGAGGACGAGAATAAATTACTCCCCGTTCTTGTTTGCTGAGATTCGGTTCTTGTTCCGCTGACAAGGCCAGTCCCGGTGCGTGGATCAGTAGTTGGGGTTCAGGGTGTCCGAAAACAAGAACCGAATCTCAGCAAACAAGAACGGGGAGTAATTTTATGCCACCCCAGCAAACTGAGATTGTGGCAGATGCCTGCAAAGATGGTCGGGCAAATTCAAGGAAGCGAGTTGCTCCCAATGGCAACGGGAAATGGGCACACCATGGCTTCGAGCATAAACGATACACAGGAATTGGAACAAATAGGAATACTAAAGCTGTCATCGCAGAGTTGCCACACGGGTAATGGCACCAAATGGCGGATACAGCGCCAGCAGCATGAATCACAGGGCAGTCGCCAACGCTCCATGCACCAGGTCTGCACGCATTCGCGAATTTTGAACCCTTCACTTCTGCCCGCACGCTATTCAATTTCAACGTCTTCAATTCGTCCTGGCCATTTCGTTGCCTTGATCGATTCCCTAAAAGATGTACAGAGTGGAGGCCAGCTGCTCCGATTATCCAACCTCGCATGCGGAACCTCAAGTTCCTCTCCTTCCTCTTCTCCTTCGCCATTGCTATGCGACAGTCCAGCTGCTCCAACTGCTACTCTTCTGTTGCGCCACCCTGTAACAACGTGCTCCAAGATTTCCAGCCGTCTACAACCGGGACTTTCCTCGATCGACTGCCACGACCGCCACCGGCCTCCAGTGCGGCCTCACAGCCCTGCCTTTGCCTTGTCGTTCTCCCATAGAACTTTGCCAGTGCATATGGAGAGGGACTGTGCTGATGGTCATCTTGGTCGTCCTTGACTGCTTCTTTCGTCAATCATGGTGTATGGTCCCGACATCGGTGTCCATGGGCCTCCAATCACCAGGGCCAAGTCTCCCTGCCCAGCGCCAGCACACATCATGATGACCCTGATTAAGGGCGGGCTTGGGCGCGCCTTCTGTCTGACAGCTTGGCCTCACTGGGCACCACCCCAAGCCAACGAACATTCATTCCCGTCCGTTCATCGGCGAATTAACATATCCTTGCCTTGTTGTGTAAAAATGGATGGTGAAGCGGTGAATTAATTCGCCGATGCGCAAATGGGAATGAACGACCGCAGGAGTCGGTACGGCAATCAACGCCGTGCCAGCGTGGCGCTGAAGTTTCTGGCAGCCCGTCCCAGCTCCCGCCAAAACTCGCGTGCAGTGGCAAACGGTCAACCGCTGACGGCCTGCAGCCTCCTCCGTGACAGGATGGCGCGCACACGGAGCATGAAGCCAACCCGCCAGGTGCGCCGCTCACCCAGCCCTTCGCCCTCACCGCCCGCGGGCGCCATGCATCGAACGCACATCGTTGCATCAAGTTAATCCCCCGACGGGCATCCACAGCCCTGAGACCATCCGTCGCCTTCGGGCGCGATGCGGTCGCACCTGCGGTGCTCGAAAGTGTGCGCTCGGGGAGCGGGACGTTGAGGATCGAGGTCTTGGAACGCGCGTGTGCAAACACGTTGATTGGTTTGATGGCGCAAGGTGCCGCCTGTGCACCTGCAACTGCAGCTTGCGCCTGTGAGCCGATGTTGGGGCTTAAGTCGGCTAAAAGTGAAGGCTTGCCTATCCTGATGTTGGTTGTGCAGTTGCTGGTACCCGCCAATCTCCTTATCGCCCGGAGGCTTGGGCTCGTCAAAGCATCCGGCCCGGGCGGTGGCGCCCGCCCGCGAAAAGGGAATGATGCGCGGGTGAAGGTTTTCGACACGGTGCCTGGCTCGCGCGGGAGTGGATCTTCTCTGAAAAAAAGGGCTGCAAAGTCGCCACAGCCATGCCACCCTCGCACCCCCGTTGTTCCCCGAGGGAATCGAACGAAGTCGCCTTGGGGGGGATCCAAGGGCGACGGCAGTGACCTCAGTGGCACACGTATCAGGCTGGAGGCTCCATCCCGCAGGTCCTACCTCCCCCGCCACTGCAAACAAAAAGCGCTGGTGATGGGCCCTGCTTCTCGGCCCACCTCCCAGGCGGCGGGCCCCGGTGCAGGAGCAGTCGCTCCTGAACGGGCAGGCGGCGAAGGGAAGGCAGGGGGAACGGCGCATCAGAGGATGCTGCGCTCCAATGGCCCGAAATTGCAATGCTCAACATCTGAAGGCCACCGCAGCGGATTCAGACACCCAGGGATGGAAGTCCAGTGCCTGCAAACCCCCGGTGGGTTGACCCTGGTGCTGTGGGCTGAGATGATGCAACACCATCCCGGAATGTTGATCTGGCTGGCCATCGTTGCTGTCTGCCCTTGCTGACTACGTGATCCAATGAGTGGCAGACTTG